GTGATGCCAACTGCGCTCAAATAGTGTTATCTGTTTACAAACAGTCTAAAAAGCGGATAATTTTTGATAATCTGGTGTTTTTTTAATTTTTTACAGCATTTACACTTACAAAGCAAGTCTTTTAGAGATCGATTGTTATTCTTTACTCCAAATTGACACAAAGTGCGAGGAAATGCTTGCTGATCGAATCTCTGATAGTTTAGATCATGTATTCTTTGTAAAATACTATAAAATTGCTTGTTAACCAGTTTTGCCTTAATATTCTTTAATCCTTTACGTTAACATAACTTCATTTTTGCCTGCATTGTTTTTATAATCGCCTTTGGAAGCCGTTACCTTAAAATTGGCGGGTAGTTGCGGTTCTGGTATGTCTGGTGTGGATAGAAAAGTCGAATTGGCTAGAAAGAAAGCCAAACTAGCTGCTCTAAGAGAAGAGAGGCTTAGAAAGGAAGAAAAACACAATAAAGCCCTTCCTTCTTCATTTAGTATACCGACTGTTGATGCTATATCAGTTGATGGAATTCTCAGAGAACTGGGTGTTGTCAGTAACATTGAAACGAATGGGAGGATGGATCAGGACGAACTTGAAAAATCGGCTAGCTCGGTTGTCTCAACTTCCATGTACTTTTCTTGATTTTGGGTTCATTCTTAGTTCTGACACAGTGGAAAGACGACCCCAGTCAAAATTATCTTTGTCGAAGGTTTTTCAGTGCTCCGTAGATTCGCAAGAACCCATCACTTATTCAAAGCAGGTCCAAACCGACCCAGAAAATCTTCCCAAGGTGAATTGTAAGCCCCTGTCCACATATCACTCACCACTTGTACCAGCTCCCAATATAGAAAGGTGGAACGAAGATGCTTCACGCACGTTTCTCGGATTGCAGAGTTTTGAATGGGACGATGAAATAGGAGGTTAGTTTAGCATTTGCACCCTACACCTTTCGTCTCTTTTATCTGCCTCGCCTTTTTGTTTCAAGAAATGTTATTTCCTGCTTATGCTAACTGCCTCCGTTCTCATTGTCTAGCTAATCCCTACAACGAAAATGATTCACATCTGTCCGAGGTGACCCAATTTATAAGGAACCTTGAACTTAACAAGTCCGTTCGATTTAACCACCCTGAAACTCCTGTGAAGTCTGCACCACGTAGGTTTATTTCAGTTAACATTTCTACCCTAAAAACACACTGGGAACTACCATCTCTAGTTCACACGTGTTTTCTGAATTACCATATTGACGTGTGTTTAGCTCTTTTACCTCCTCCTCTTCACTGCTTACGCGCGATTATTTAACGCGCAGCCTTTCTTACCTTTAGTGCGTGAATTAACGGAGGAGGAGAAGCAGGCAGCCATGGAGACAGAATCATTTCATGAATTCTTTTCCCGCACTTCGCGGATCATTCAACGTGCTCTGGAAGAGCCTAATGACATCTTTTTCGACTACAGTGGTGCCGAACGAGAGGAGGATGCGTGAGTCACACATAATTCTAAAGCGTTTGATTTATGAGACGTACTGTCGAGGTGAAGACTGTGATGGTTTATAGGTATCGTGTCCTTCTGTTTTGAGATCCGTTCTCAACTTTACCACTTCTTTCGCCATTGCTTTGGCATCGCCTACATTTTCGGGCCATATTGATGAATTTTTCCATCTGATCGATATTCTGCTTTAGTTTTATTTAACTAGTATATGGGTTTCCTGTTCTTGATTCGCCTTCTTTTTTATGTCGACTTTTGTATTCGTTCATCTGTTTTGATTGTCTTTAGTTCTTATCGGAATATTGGCATTTCGATCGTCGGTTACTGTGCCAATCCGGCTATCGTTCCTCGCTTCCACATTGTCATAGGCTTTTTTCTTTTTTAATGCTTCAGTATTATTAGAAGTCTTGTTTTTTTTGAAACTGCGTCAAATGTCTTCAGTACCTATGAGCCAATAAATGATGCGGTGAATTTTGAGTGTACAAATTGCAGACTGGTTACGTTAGCTCCTTTAGACTAGCTGTTTGGCCCTTTTCGAATACTTTTTAGGCAGTAGTTAATACTGCTTATTAGTGTTTTTTCTGTACACAGAAATGTTGCAGCCGAGAAAAATTAGCTCTGATTTAAAACATCGCGCATTAGTCTTAGATTCGCGAAGTCCGAGGCTACCGTTTGCAATGTTAGTTTGGGGTAGAAATGAGGTAAAGTTGAGCTTTAATTTGCTGAATCACTGTATATGCCTCCTTATAATTCTATTCATCGTTATTGGTAGTAGTCATGTTCCCAATTTCACCTACGAAAGTTTATTTTTGCAAAATGGTCAAATACGAATTCAAGCATTGTTCGTTCCGAAGCCTATGGCTGTCTATTTACCTTATTTTCCCATATAGATTCACATGTATGATCATTTTTTACTTATTTACATAAAGTGCGTCCTAAATCGTTAATTTTTTTAAGCCATTTGACTTTCACTACCCATTAGTATATTCCTTGTAATTTTTAATCCATTTTCATTTCCATTTCGAAGCCTTATCTTAGTTCTCGTTCTTTTTTTAACTCGGTCGTTTTAATGAATTCGTTATCTGAATGAATTTTAGTCATTTTGGGTCCTTTTATCGAGGTATCTGAAAGTTTTTTACCTGTTCAATCGAGATCCTCACATTTAACCAGCCAGAATTCTTCCACCCATCCATTCACAGCTACGAGTGTCCATCTGCCCTTTTTCTACCCATTAATTTGGAAATATTTTAGCCTATTCATTTGACTGGAAGCTTTTTTCATAGTACATACGTTCATTAAAATATTGACCTATCCAATCATCTATTCCTGTATTAGTCCCAGTGTCTTCCATCCAAATCCATGCATCTCTCTCTTCATTTGGCCACTTAGTTACATCATCCATATTTGGATTGATAGGTAATCAAAAGTACTTGCACCTCCAGAATTAATCTTGAATACACCTTCTACTTTTAGACAGGGAAAACATCAGCTGGTGAAATACATCGGCGACTTTTATGATAAGACCTACGTATCGGGTGGGGGACGAGGCTCCGTGGTGGCTTTGGACTGGTCTGCAGTGCACCCAGAGCTCCTCTTAGCCGCCTATCAAGCCCAGGCTCGCGAGGGCAGTGGCGTTGGTGATGGCAATGGAGTTGACGAGGGTGGAATTGAATGCTCATGTTGTTGTATTTGGAATTTAAAGTATCGACAGACGGCCCCTGAGTACGTCTTCACCTACCGAGTTGACATCACCGCGGCAACACTGACTGAGTTTCATCCCTCCTTAGTGATTGGAGGCACGAGGGGTGGACAAATTGTCTTATGGGATAGCAGGTAAATTGTTGGTTATAATCATCGTTAAATTGATGTGGATTCGTTTTGCCTTTTAACTGACCATTCCCCGCGTAAATATACGCTCACCAATTAATCCACCTTTTTGTTCATTCATCAATGGTGCTGGGGTCATCTCTGGTAGCGTTATAAGGTGCGGGTTTAAGGATGGGTTCTTTGCTGCTGCGATGAATACTGCGAGGGTGATAGTCAATCGCGACAGACTGAATGGTGTGCGAGATCTAAGATCCACTTTAAGCAAGTGTCGTTCTCCTTATCTATCCACCCAACTATAGATCCATTTATGTTCCAAATTCATTCACCCGTTTACCCATAGCTATACTGATCTTAGCTTCATTTATTTATTCCTGGTCTATCTATTTATCTATCTTGGACTCCCTCTCCCATCACTTATTTCCCCATTCGTGCATTGTGGATCTGTTCGCTTGTCCATTCATTCAACCCGAATATCTTTTCAACACTATATCCACCCTAAATCATCTCATTCAATCCTTTTCTGTTCCACTAAATCGTCTATCCTACAGCCATTTATTTTTCAATCCCAGATTCATCAATTCATTTTTGGATGTGCTTATATGTCCCTCCGCATTTGATTTTTCGAACCGTTTGGTTTCTATCCCCCATCCGTCCTGCTTCCAGCTGCCTATCTTTCCAACAATCTGCCCATCCATTCACAAATTGCTGCTTCGATCGCCCACACATCCGTTTACCCTAAATCCACTCATTTCTGTTGCAGTCCTCATCCTAGACCTATCTATTTGAATTCCTTTGTTCATTCTCATACCATTATTTCATCCATCCCAAATCCACGCATTCCGAATATGCTGGTTTATTCGTCTCTACTTTCCATTTGTTCGCGTCGCCGCTAATCCATCCACACATTTCCGGATTTTCTCGTCTCGAATCCATCTCAAAATCGACCAGTTCATCCCGAACTCGTTTATTCACTTACCCACAGATTAACTCATTCTTCCACCCACTCCAGTTTCATCCACCTTTTCATGCAGTGTCTATTTTTATCGAATTGATCCATCCCTTAATCACTGATCCATCTATTCATTTCGAGCTTACTTCGAGGAGTTGGTTAAGCTTAAGTCACGATCCGCAAAAAATCACCAAAACACTTGTTAAATCAAATAGACTGACATTTAGGCTAGCCATCCACCTCTTTTTCTCCACCCATCCCCTCCTATTTCATTCAGCTTGTATTTATATCCCTTTGTAATCCTCATATCTCCCCTACTATCCCCTTCATTCAAAAGTGTATCTATTCCTTTCGGATCTGCTCTAGACCCTTTCGTTTTCTTTTTAACCCCAAATTCACATATCGCTTATTTATCCTTTCATAGATGCATTTATTCATCTGCCCCTCCTGGATCCATCTTATTCAAGCAATCGTTTTTTTTTCAGGCCACATCCGTGTGTCCACCATCCATCAATCCCTTTCGTCGCCCTCCTTTTTGAGTCTATTTAACGAATCCCAGCTGACTCACGTAGCACTAAAGTTGATGCTCCTGACACTGACTTTCACAGTTTTTTCTGTTACTCTCACATCTACTAATTAATGAGCTATCATTATACCATTAACGTGTGTCAATTCACGAGTTCATAAAAACATCCATCAATTCTTTCATGCATTAATTTATTTTTCCGCACCGACATTCATTTCACAATTATTGAGTCTCTTCATCCATTCGACCAGCTATGCACCAATCCATCTATTTGTATATGTCTGTCCATTCGCTTAGCCATCAACAATCTATCCATTCTAAGATTCATCTTAGATCTGCCTATCTGAGATGAGACTGCCTTATTTGCCGTACACTCTATTATTGCTAGGTTTTTAGTGTTTTACTATACCTTCAGGGTGAATCGTCGAACCCCGGTGCAGATGACGCACCTGGCGGGCGATGGAGCCGCGCACGTCGAGGCGATATGCGGCCTTGTAGTTTCGGGCAGTCGCAACGCCAATAGCCTCGTTAGCGTCTCCTCTGAGGGCCGCCTCTGCTCCTGGGCCCTCGATATGCTCGGTGCACCTATCCAAACCCTCGATCTCACACCCTCCGTCATCAATTCCACTTCCTCCGGGGGTGTGAAGCGCTCCTCCAATCCTATTACACCCACCTGTCTTGCTTTTCTGCCCGGTCTCGATGCCAGTCGGTTTCTAGTTTGTTCACAGGATGGCTCGGTGTATGTTGGCTCCCGTCATGGAAAGTGAGTGTGGCTCCTCTCTTCTCGTCTGTCTTCTTTTCTCATGTTTCTCTTTTTCTTTTTCACCCATTCTTTCTTCCCCTTATCGACTTCGTCTTAGCTGATAAAATTATTTATCGTTGTGGAATCGGTGGAAGTCGTTGGTGGACGGGGTTATCGTCTTGTCTTTTACCTCCCGATTGTCTGTATGAGTTCCGAAGGGATTTGGGGCCGTAAGAGAAAAGGCAATGACAGATTCCAGGAAGTAAAGAAGCGACTTCTTTTTTTCACAACCTCCATCTACGCGCCTAATTCAACGCCTAACTTATAACCAAAAAGCTTTAACATAGAAATAGTTGTCAGTGCGGTTGAACCACCCTTGAAGAGTCGGCTTCACTTCATCATCAATGTCTTTGTTCTTGACTTATGTCAAACTAGATTATCTGAGCTTAGGTGGTCCATGCTCCGAATATTCGCATAAGTTACTTTTGTGGGCTCGAAACGGATTCAACGAAGCCGGAATTGTCACCCACTTATGGACACTTGGACATCTTTGAAAGATTTGCCTTTCATATGTCTTCCTGTTGAGCGCTCCAACTCCTTACTGTACCCGGTGTTTTCTGTGCGAGTTAATATTTGTAGGTTCTGGTTTAACGCCTTGGTTCACAAGACGGCTAACCACCATCGCTGTTCTACTTGTGGAGATCGGCACATACCGTGCATAAAACCACTACGGTGGCATCCCTTTTGGAGCTGGTAAAATTCAGTGCTCATATGATATGCACGACTCACATGACTGGCCAAATTCGATTATAAACTCGTTCTAATCTGTCATTCTACCTTTTTTTCGAAGTTTTATGTCACTGCATTGGGACGAGTAGCTTTTAAGTTCATATGCGCTCCTTCAATTATTTTGGAAAGGTCCTAACGTCCATGGGAGATGGTAACTATCATAAGTACGAGAAAAGTTGACGCGTTATTACCAGATGTTGAATATTTTTCGATGCGGCATTTCATACAACTAGAGCATAAGCTTTTTCTTCTATTTTAGTCTAATCGGGTTGAGGTTCAGCCGTTCCAGTTACGTCACTTAGTGTGAATCATTGTAACGATGAATTACTCTAAGTCTTGTCGATTGGAGATTTAAAAAAAGTCTTAATCCCTTATCATCCCAAAGGTCTGGAGACAACTGGCTCCTTTTTTTGCTCCAAAAGACGTATTTTTTCAAAGAAACCGGCTGAATTATGCCGGAAATGCAGTAGAATAACAGTCGTTTCATTGTCTATTTGGTCTGCTGCTACAAAACGGATCCTTTTATTTCGTGTACGAGGTGATCGTTTCGATACCTGTCTGGCACACTAGTAAATTTGAGACTGTTATGAATTAGGAATGAGTCAGGACCTTCGCTCACGTCCGGGTTTTTGGAATCTCATTTTCGTTTATTTTTGCGACCCCATTTCATTTGTCTTGCTGAATTCCTCCTGGCTGGAGATCCAAGACGCCTTGTTTTTTGTGTTTAGCCTACCAACGTTACACCTTGACCCGGTGAGTACACACACATTTTTTTGCATTTTGCAGTCTAACCTTTGCTTGTACACTCGATCTAATGAACGGTTCTAACACTACACTAATGACTTCTTTAAGATTTTAATCTTTTTAAGTGCTGAGTTGGGTAGTCCTTACCTTTTGATCGTCTTGAGTATGCCGAACCTTTGTGTTAAACGCACACCTCGGGGTTCCGATTTTTGACATTTTCATGGCCTGCAAAACCACGGAAGGCAAAGCGTAGTGGTAAATTCCATCTTCAATCAGTTATACAGGAGATAGACGCGTCACCAGTGGGTTTATATAAACTCATAGACGAATGACGGGAAGTTTGTGCCACCCCGGCTAAGAGCACTTTATGATTGACTAGGGATTTATATTTTTAGCCACGAATTAAGAGGAAAATCGGTGTTAAGGTAACCACAGAGCGTCAGTGGCTTGAAAAGTACCCTCTTCTTGTGGGTAATTTAATGCTCAGTTATGAAGACGGGTTGATTGGTAGCAAAATGTGTAGTGCTTGCCACGCGCAAGCGAACGGTTTTGAGAGTGGATACGCTCGCACCACGAGCAGTTGCCCCGCTTTTGACACAAACTTCGGTTTGGCAGCAATTAATGTTGCAAACATTTCCGTCCTTTTCGTACGTAAAACTGATGAGTTGGTGTAAATCACTCGAGATTGAGTGGCTGTTTTGTTAAGTGAGGTTTTTGGCATGTTGTTCTCACCATAGTGGAATCAAACTAATTGAAAATGCGTTTTGTTACCCTGAGTATGAGTTCGTTTTGAGTGCCTCAGTGATTTGAGCCCGTAGCGGCTTGAATGTTTTTATCAACTATCATAAGATACGTTAGTTTCAACACAACCAAAAAAACGGTACTTTCCGTGTTTTGTGCACGCTTTGGGTTTGTATTTTCACAAATGTCGCGAAGTTTATCTCGTTGTCGAAATCAGTTGTCTACAACCACACTTAACACTAGCATATATGTGATTATTTTGATCGTGAGTGGTTTAAGCACGATCTGAGCTGATATAATTGACCATCAATTTTGGTGGGAGCTACACACCTGTGACAGGTAGGAATGACGCTAGGGGGTCAGTCATTACCACTAAACCCTGCACCTTTGACAGGAACGCGGGCTTGACGGCTCAATTTGAGGGCCACAAGGCGCCAGTGACGGGCGTGTCGGTTTTAGCGAGTGCAGAGGTAGCGGTGATCGCTGAGGACGTTGCAGTACCCATGACAAACGGGGGCGAAGGTCCCCTTTTCGTCACCACTGGCATGGACTGTAGCATGCGACTTTGGAGCGTCCGTGAGTCGCCCGCCTATCCTCTGTTGTCCTACGAGGATCGCAATGACTACTTTGTTGGTTGTGACGCTTCTCCTATTCATCCTGGGCTCTTTGCTACTATGGATTTGTCTGGGTGTCTGGACTTTTGGTCCCTCAACTCTGACCATGAGGTGAGGTGGTAGTCTACTTCCTTCTTCAGATGTAGTTGGTAATTTCGTTTTGAGTTATTATTTTGCTCATGCTGAATAATTAGTCATTGTTGAAGGTTCCGAACCGTTTCAGTGTTGGTGCTCGATGGTCTACCTGCTTTGGTGTCAGGGAATTATATTCATAGTCTACTTTTTAGTAAATGTTTTGGAGATGTTTTCTTATCATCACTTAGTTTGTCATCCACTTTTTTGGCTCAGGTTCCCACGGCGTCCATCCAAGTAGAGGGGGATGCACTCTTGAATCGATGTCGATTCCACAAAAAGGGCTTTCACTTGTCTGTCGGTGGTGATGATGGTCGAGTACGCCTCTTCGAACTGCACGAGGTAAATTCCTTTTTTGCTGACGATTTATTAGTCTGATTATTCTTAAGTGAAAGCCTTAGCTCGGCGTGTTGTCTCAATTTGTACTAGTAAGAACATCTTCCTCCTTCTTTCGTAGAGTCTGGCAATGCCAAAAGCAGACGAACATATTCAGTTAAACCGTTTGGTAAGAAAGCTTTCAAACTCCGCGGCTGAGGAATACGAAGTACAGAACCATGCCTGGTGGCACGGCCACGTCCGCTAACTCGATATAAGCGACTTTTCCCTCCTTGCTCTCTTCGTCGTTTACCATCAATCGCATCTTCTTGTGTAGTGTTCAAGAATAAGCATTTACTTGGCGCATTTTTGCTGGCAGAGATTTGATTAGGTGCCTATGCAAGATTAAACTTTTATTGATTAACGTATTTTTTTCTCTCATCTGTTGAGAAAGGCTCTCGTTCAGTCGGCATCCATTTTTCTCGACTTGTTCGTTTTAGTAGCAAGCGGGTGTTTTGTATCCCCTAACGACACAATTGCGAGAGATTGTAGGCTTGTGGAAATAGTAATGTTTTCGGGTCTCAGAGCGCTGCGTGTTTTGGAGGCTTTCGAAAATATAGGGTTACCCGGGGGTTGTCACGGTTTCTGCGATCGGGCCTCCTATGCTGCAGCTTCCATGGGTGCGGTTAGAGTTGTGTTCGTTACAAGAGAATCAGCCTCAGATAGGTCGTTTTTTCCCTGGTGGGTGGTGCTAGGCAGTGTTGTGTGTAACTCCTCTGATTGTACTGAGTGCTATGAATAGTTGGAAATGCATGGCTGAACAAAAGAGTACAGGAGACCCAAAAAACCCGCATTCTTAAGGGTACTGCAGAATAATTGCATTTCAATACTTAGTAGTCTTTTTAGCCGTCAACTTCGATAACGGGCTACTTGGAGTCGCCGACTTTGTACATCTGCTGGGCAGTGGGTAGCTTCAACTTCTGCTATGCACCAACCATGCATTCAGCTTCAGTATTATTGTCTTTGAGGTAGTCGCGGAAAGAAAATTGCGGTACTAGTTTTAGAACACCGTAGGTGGTCAAGTTGTTTAAAGACATAGCTCATGGAAACTTGAACTCCTTGAAAACTCTTGGTTAGTCTGTATGTTTCACGAAAAGGAAGCATAAGCTTCCATCAACAAACAAATCAAGAGCCTAAGGTCTGCCTTTTTGCTTGCTGCTAACGTTACAGTAAGTGTGTTTCATCGGTAAACATTTGTACAGATATAGTCAATGGTTAATAGTTCAAAATCAGTTTCTTCCACAGCAATCGTAAAAAAACATTCGCTGCTGCATGTCTTACAAGACTGCAAAGACCAACTGACAAGCACAATTTAAACATAATCTTCTTTATTCTTTTCGCATTTTTAAGCAAGCTACTAATAGTTAATTACTGCCCTACCTTGAATCGTTTTAATGCATCAGAGACACACTCACAATAAGTACCGGTGTTTAGGTGCTGCGCGGCTCGGTAGCCGGCTCTTTTGTGTACTTTGGTCATGAGGCAAGTCTGTGTATTGGGATGTGGCGCACTGGGTACAGTGCTCTCGAATCTGGTTGTTAGTAATTTACCCAAGCTTTCAGGCTACAATCCAAAGGTACGTGCCTAAATAATCATTCAAACAACCCTTCAGGTGATGTGGTATGTTCGTGACGAGGAACATTTGCAGAAACGTCTCGTCGATGTGATTAATACTCACAGAGAAAATAAGAAGTATCTCCCGGGTGTCAAGATTTCTGACAACGTCTTAGCATCTGATGATGCTGCAAGAGTGGCAGCTGCTGCAGATGTGATTCTTTTCGCCTATGCCACCCGCCATGTCACTGAAATTCTGGAAACAGTGAAGGGACATCTAAAGAAAGATGTTCTGTTTATTTCCTTTTCTAAAGTAAGTGTCTGTAGCCCTGAACTAGCTATCACAGCCCATTAATTTTAATACTACCTAGGTCACCCTTGTTATGCAACTGATTTGCAACACATTTTCGATATTTTAGCGTACCTTTGAATCGAAATGCTCCTTTTTTTCCGATGCCATTTTATTATTGATCTAGTTTTGCAATTTTCTTATCTAGGATCATAGTGCATAAGTATAAGCACTTAATTCATGAGTATAAGCCTAGCATGGCCATCAAGATTCATATTCTAATTTCTTCGGTATTTTTTTTATTAACGAACTGTTTTACCATTATGCTTTACCTGATTTGATTGGTTGTTTTTCGTTCCACGGAATCGTTCGGTTTTACTTTGTGCTGAGCTTCGGGAAAAATTGTTTCCGGCATCCGCACTAGCGTTTCCTATTGCTTGAATGAAAAAGCATTCAAATTTTGCGTAGTTTGTATTACGTAGTTTACTTTCAGATCGTCAAGGGATTTCCTTGTCTCAGGCGTTTCATTTAACTGAAGTTCCCAAATCACTTATAGAAGTGGTTTTTCTCAAAATTTTTCTTCGAAGTACCTTATGCTCATTTATTTAGTGCACTTTGTTGGCACTTTTGGTTTATTTATGTTTAAGGCTGTTTATACAAATGCCCTGGTTCCACGAAAGTACACGGTTGGCGATAGCATGATGCATTTTTTGAGGATATTCGCACGTAATGTAGACGGGAATTGGCTGTACTAGTTATTTGCTCACTTGATTCCGACTTTCGATTTGTTTCATTTTTCTATGACCACTTGCTTGTCGACAGCTGTTGGATTTGGTGTCCGGAAAATTGGGGTCTTCATTTCCAATGCTAAACACAATGCGCCTGCGGGAATGTACCCAGTAAATGACAGCTTGTCTGCTCTTCATTTTTCATTAATTTGCAACTGGTGATCATGTGGTCAGTTCGGACATTCGACAAGGCTCTTCTCTTTAAGTCTTTTCATGTATATTAGACCTGAAACGTACTGCAAACTTGTATTTTTAAGAGAAGAATTTGTGCACCCTTTGGACTTAAATCGTCTATAGGTACGGCTTACAAATTCATTCCTCAGCCCATTTGAACTTTTTGTGACATCTTGGTCAGGTCTATTTTTGAATCGAATAGATTATATGGACCAGAAGCGGATTAAAGCGGATTTCGGCCTCAAACCTACTGACTTATGAAGCAGAGTTGGGGCCGAAGCAAAAATTTTAATTTTGATTATGATTAATTCTAAAACCTGTTTTCTCTTTGTATATCATGTTTAGGGTCTGGTGGCACCCGAAGGAAAGCCCCAGATGAGCCAGGCCGACATATGGTTGGTGAGCGAGGAGATTCGCCGCGTGACTGGTGTGGAGGCGGTTGTTGTCAGTGGTGCTATGACGGCTCGAGGACTTGCCAAGGGCGAGTTCACCGAGGTCACTGTCGGTGCGATAAGCGAACAGTCTGCCGAAGAGGTGAAGAAACTGCTTGAGGCAAGTCCTGCATCTTGTCCTTTAATAAGCCTCACAACTGTAATTCCAATCCACTCATGGTACCTTTGAAGCTTTAACAACGAAATCATTACCCACAAAACTGTGACAACTAACAGGGTTCGATAACTGTGAAAATATTCTTAAAATACTAAACATAGTCTGTAGTCCTTTCTCAGCTAGACACAAACCTGCATCTTCATTTTTCTTCTTGTTTTAACTGCTCAGCTACATGCTTCAAATAACTCCTTAGCCCTTTTAATGTCAAGAAGTTGTGGTGCAAATTGCTTGGAGAAGTATTTTCTACCCTCTCATCCCAAATGTGACATGAATTTCCATGGGTAAACTTTGCGGTAGTTTACGGCATGAGGTCTTGTGTTGTTTTTTTAAAAAAACTATATCACTTAATCACTACCATTTCACTGATCCTGGTTGTCCCTGAAGAAATTTTCTTGTTTCTACTCTAGTTTCATTGTGTCGAGTTGGTCGACCCCAACCGTAATTGTCTGGCCCTCAAGAAGTGTATGAATTCGCTTGCAGTCCACTCCTTGCACAGAGCAAGCATAGTCTTCTAGGCGTGAATTGATGCGTTGCTTGGAAGTGTGGCGTGTGTAGTGAGTAGTCCTTTGGGGGATAGCCAATGATAAGTCCGTTCCCTTAACGAGCGTTGCAATCCCAAAGCCGTTCTACATCACAAGCCAGTCAGTAAATAACCAGCAAGCAAACGACCCTTTTCTGTAACGCGCATGATGGGAGTCAAGAACTAATTGATGGTTTCTTGAAGCGCGTTTTAATCTGCTTATGCGTGATAAGAGGGTGGGACCCATTTGTCTTGTAGCTTGCCCCAAAACTTTCCCCTTCTCAGTTGATGCTCATGTAAATAGGTCTTTCTATCATCATTTACCCTAAATGTTGCTGAAATTTGTTTAAAATGCACTGGCCTCAGCTTATTCATCGGTAGAGACGCTTAATCCATCATGTTCAAGAAAATATCTTCCTGAATATGCTGAATTTTTAAGTGATTTGTCATGTGTGCCCCGCAGTTCACGTTCACATGTTCTTTGCAGACGGAGAATCTTCTCCTCACATGGACGGCTGATGTGGCGACAGTGGAGATTTGCGGTGCGCTGAAGAATATTCTCTCGGTGGCGGCGGGCATTGTGGACGGTCTAAAACTGGGCGCCAACACTAAATCGGCCATCATTCGTCTGGGGCTCTATGAGATGGGTCAGTACTGCCACTACATGTATGGCAAATACGGTGAGTATTTGTCTCGAATTCCCCACTTCTCGTTTCTATCTCCCACTCTACTTGAGGCATGTTAAATGTAAGCATTAGTCGTTTAAACTATAGGATTCGAAAGGTCGGTAGGGTAGTAATGGCTCAATACTTTGTCATGAGCTTACGGAAGGACTAGCCGACTGGTAACACATGTGAAGTGAGCGGACTCTTATTCCTCCGTTGTGGAGGTTGAACCATGAAAGCCTGAAAAGACTCATGTAATCGTTCAGGTGGTTAAAAATAAATGCCTTTCATCAATCAAACTAGACTTTACTGCTTATCCACTCATAACTTATGAATAATCATAAGCTATAAAATCTACCTTCAGCTCATCACTAATCATTGCTCTAGTGCCAACTCCTAATTCCTGCGTTACACTATAGTCACATCATGTCCCCAATTTTAGCTGCTTCACCACTTCAGCTGACACCACTTCTCGTTATTTAATGTGGAGCATCAAGGATTTCTAGATTTATTTAGACAGTTTTCTTTAAATGCAACCCAATCTTTATTCGTTGTTTGAATAAAAATAAGTCACCGAAAAGTAGGAAACAACAAAGCATCGGCAAAACAGATGTGCCTACAGCGTTGCTATTATTGACACTGGTTCTCTCACTTCACTAATTTAATATCCAAATTTTTTAGAGAAGCAACTTGACACCAAAGTAATACAGCTTTTTGCTGACAGATTTGAACCCTCCTTGATTGAACTAA